CTGCTGTCATTTCAAAACTTTAGTTGAATTTTATATTGCATATCGACATACGTATACATACATGTATGTATGTATTTTGTTCTTGGGGATTATACTGTAATAATTTCCTATTGCTGCCGCTTTATGTATGCTCAAGAGATTAGCCTGCTATTGTTGAGGGATTTCAATTTGAAAATTAGTTTAGGATGTCTGCTATTGTGCAACAATAAAATAAATGCCTAAAAATGCACAAGCAACCATTAAAATGTGAGCGTACAAATGTAACGGATGTCCTTTAAAACACATTACAAATTTAATTTATAAGAGATAAAAATACCAGGTAAAACGTACCCATGTAACAAATAGTAAATAACAGAAAATTGATAACTGATAATAGATAATAGATAACAGATAATAGATAATAGATAATAGATAATAGATAATAGATAATAGATAATAGATAATAGATAACTTTCTCATCTCTCCTAGGTAACTCATACGCCATGTAAATGGTAGATCGAATATGGTCTCGCCATTTTGAATTTTAAAAATCTGATTTCAGATTCATAATCAGCGACCTTACAAACCCAAATTGTAAAGTTTTAAGCGAATCCAATAGATTTTCGTTTTTTTGGCCGCCATGTTGGATCCACCATTTTGAGTTTTTGCATCCTTTCGGATGACGAATTCTAAGTGAATCTGATAAATTTAAAAAAATCTTCCGCCATATTGGATCAGCATTTTGAGCATCGAAATTTTTATACTATATTCGTGATCAGCCAACTTAAGAACATCAGAACCAGTCTTGGCCCAATAACGGACTACGGTTTTAACAAACTGATTGACAAATTTATTTACGCACTTACGGAAAGGACGTCTACCAAGGGTCACAGCATTTACGTAATACTGAATTTTCTATTCTTTCATGTTTTACTTGATGCATTATAGTCTTTTGACATCTTTACGTTAATTTCTATCGCATAGAATTTCGGGCTGAGCTTTGGTCCGTTTAGCATGGACCGTCCCACATGTATGTGAAGAGCCTAAAAAAAGTATTTACTTTACGGATAGAGAAGTCATACCAAACCCTCTGATCTTACACGATCACATTTTGATCTACACTAGAAGAGAATAGTCTATACGCAATGGTTTCGTTTTTTTTCAATTTATTTTTATTTTTTTTTCAATGTAACAACTGAAACGTGGCTGAAATTTTTTATGAAATGTCAGTTCGAAAACAAAGTTCTCTCTCATTATCTATTGGAATCTGAAATGATCCTTTTGAATAGAAATCCAACTTTGAAAATAGGAGGAGCAAAAAATTTAAAGAAGTATGTATGTATGTATGTATGTATAGAATTTTTTTATTTTCTAATGAAATCCGAAATGGTATGGCTAGAGAGCGTTACTGATCTATATGAAGAGAAATCCTACTTCGAAAAGAGATTGCTCTCAAAATGAAAATTCATGAAAGTGTATAGTTTTTGTTTTGTTGTGCTCAGGCAGGCTCATTAATTTAATTAGATAATATATTTTCTTTATAAAATTTACCCAGTACATCTGGCATCCTCAAAAATTAACTGCTACTCTGTATCAGCTCTTAAAACTTGTAAAATTTTAATTGCAAATTTTCAGTTAGGAATAAGCGAGTGAACAAACAATACATAACAGTAAAGACATTTCGCCCCCTCTTCCCGAAATGCTCGCTACGTCACTACCGTTAGCTATTGATTTATTTTTTTTTTTTTTACTTTGATGTCGGATATGATTTTCGCCGAGTTTTTCCACTTTAGATCGAAACAAAAGCCTTACATAAAAAACTCTTAAGCTTTTTTATTTTCAGTGTAATTTTTCATTGACTTCATCGGCCCACATTACACATTTTTCCATTCACTTATGCTCCGTTGCTTAAAAAAAAGAAAAGCTGAAAGCATCTGCACCCACATCTAGGACACAGTTGTCATTGTCAGAACATTCATGGTCAATGTTACAAATATCTAAATTACCGAAGATTCGCAATGGCACGTGACATGCATTTGTATGTGTGGATGTATGTACATTTGTAAGTTTTCCAACGTTATAAAATGTTGAAGTTGATGTTATGTGTGTTTTATGCGCTACGGAACAATTGATGTAAGTGGTGAATAAGTTCAAGGAATAAAATACTTATGTATGTCGGATAAAATAAAAAGTTTTAAGCACAGTTTAAGAAAATGTGTAGTGGTTGATGTGAAAGTTAAACGACATTGGATTGCAAGTTGATAAAAGCGTTGTAAAAAGGGGAAACGCATAAATTTGTGCTTTTAAAATATAAAATCGAAGGTTTACAGCGGAAAAGTAAACGTTTAATTTCAAGTATTTGCTGCGGATTTTCCCTTCGAAAAAGCGTACTCATTTCGTTAAAAATCATTCTGGTCGTTTTAAATATGATATTTGGGGCTATATAAAAAACATATAGTATATTTAAATATTAAAAAAAAAATCAAAAATTACAAAATTTTGAAATTTAAAAAATCTTGATATCAAAAACTTATGTAAAGTTTAAGATCGTTTTTTTATACAATATCTCCAAATGATTTTAAAAGATCCTGCAATTTTCAAGAAGGGATTGTTTGAGATAGATATGAGTTTTTAGACTTTGAAAAAAAAAATGTTTGCAAACTATAAAGTTTATATATTTATTTTAAATACAAATTGTTTAACATTATTATATTTAAATAAAATAACAATTGTTTAACAGAACTTTATTTAGAGTTTGCAAAACATTTTTTCCAAGGTACAAAAATTTGATCAACAATTTCTGTTGATGTTTAATATCTGCGCTCTGTCTCCTGACAACTTGCATGCCGGTCCCATTCGACCATTTAAAGTATTTCATTGACTTTCCCGTGATTGGCCGACCAGAACGAGATGCATCTTTACAAAGCTACAAAAATTCGCATCCAGCTATGCGCATTTTAATGCCATTCGCTGTAGATCGATATTGCGTCTTATTATTCTCCGCTTTCCCATTGAAACAGCAATTCTTGGAAAGCATTTGATAATTTTTTTTGAAAGGTCTACTACAAATATGTACGCAGATATGCATCTACACGCATAAGTACATTTGTATGTCCAAATGTATTTAATGCATGTCACATAGTTCAATTTGCAAATTTCAATTTAATACTAACCAATACACAATTACAAAATGAATTAGATTTGTAGGCGTGCGCTCACCCATTTGCTCTCTACCCACATATATATTGTACATACCCTGCAGGGAAAGCTACTAGTTGTGAACTAGAATACTACCATTTTGCGTTCCAGGCCAACTAGTTCACGTTCTATCCCTTTTCAATGTTAGTGACTGGTATTTTGAACATGGCGATGTCCTACGAAATATCAATTGTCAGGCTATGCATCAGAATCTACTAATATAAATACTAGTAGCATCATACCCGTTGATGAGATAGTCTGTTAATGGATCCTAATGATTAGAAGATTCGTAAATGCAAATAAATTTAATCGGAAAGAGTTATATAACTTCAAATATATGATTTTTTTATGGGACAACAACTGAGCTGGTCCTTTTTACCAGACGGTGCAAAATACCGGCTCTTAAACGCCCTAAACTCGATGGTTCAAGCCTGAAACTAAGGCGTACTGACAAGCAATCCCTCGACGGTAGGCTGCTCTGGAATAACAGCACAATGGAGCGCATCAAGAAAGCGCTCTTCACTTGTAAAAATGCGATCGGTGTATCCTGTAGCTTCCCACCTAGAATAGTTCGTCGGATTTTGCTCTACGTAGTCCCCGTCTGGTTGTCTACCTTAGTAAGACAATGACGCTTAAACATTTTCAAGAGGTACAACGAAGTACGGAGCTATGCATAAGCGGAGCCCTGTGCTCGTCCTCTACCGAAGCTCTGAACGCGATTTCACATCTGTCCCTGCTCAATGTAATTCCTTGAGAAATAGCCGTTACTGCAGCCTTAAGACTAAAAGAGGCAAGTTCCGGGACTATTGGTAAATCCGGCCACTTAAAAATTTAAGGGGCGGTCGCACCCATACCGATACCTCCAATTACCGAATGATGCATACTATCAATACCTTCATCAAAAACTATGAAATTACCATACCAAATCGACTGGACTAGAACACCATGCCTCAACACATACGCAACGCTATAAACATGTGTACTGATGGCTCAAAACTCGACGGAGTTTCAACTTAATCTAACCTCTTATGGATCTTACGCACAACGACCTCTAAAGTGGCCAAATCTGCGCCTAAAAATAGCGTCACATTCACAGAGAATGTGTTCTGGCGTTAATTCGTCCATCTTCATAAGTTCACAAGTCCGACACTCTCAATTCTGGTGTGCATATTTGGTGGAAATTCACGCTGCGGTAAAATTATCTCAACAATTTTTCTTGAGTTGACAGTTTTTTCAAGGCTGAGCTCCAAACACCTTTTTAACGAGCCCTAAGCAGCTGTTCGGGACTGACAGCTGACACTTGCGAAAATTCATATTTGATACACAGCGTTTTCCACTAAAGCTTAGTAGACTGTTCAATACATATTGACATAACAAATGACTGAGGCTGGGGGTCCCAGCGAGCCATTGTTTGAGACAACCACATTAATCTAACCTATCCCTCGTATTTATAGGCCTACACTTAGTACCCTATATTCCATTCTAACGGTACAACTCGTGCGTTTTTGCGGTACAGTTGCCAGAACAGCACTCATCTGATAATATATTCACCCACACACGCAAATCTAGGCATTTTAATACATACACTAATACATAAGTACTGCATAAAAGATTTCCATGAAAACTCGAAAGAAACGCCGCACATCTAATAAAAAAAGGTATAACGAAAAACGTGCAACAATTGGAAAGAATAATAGATTAGAATAAATGCCAATACGGAGGGGTTGCAGCTCTACCCCCTGAGGATTGGCTTGTGCAAAAGTTGGCAACTGCGACGTCAGCAGAACGGTATGAGAAAGCATAGAAAACTAACTGTTTGCTCAACGCTAATTGCATTTGCCAACAAGTGGCTGACGCGAGAAGGTCGCCATTGAGTAGAGCGCTAGTCTGAAGCATTTACAACTGGAAATGAAACTGAACTGAGAGCTACTAAACCGCAGCAGCTGCAGTGTACAAAGCCACTTGCATTTAACAATATTCTGGAAACAATATTCGTAGTTGTGTGGACTGACTGTATTTGTATTTGTATTTGTAGTGAAAAGTGCACTACAGTGGGAGAGCAATGCAAGTGCGCACAAAGACCGCAAATAAAACAAAAACGTATAAAGCGAAAAAAACTTAAAAACATATTACAGCATATTTGAATTAAATTATAATCGTTCAGCTGCTGTGCTGTAATACTTGAGTGCATTGTGCAAGCGCGTTTCGTGCCAGCGAGTGGCGGCTGCAACGGCGGCGGTGATTACATCCCTGAGCGCCGCACATTACGATGAAGCGAGCGAATGTTTTGTGGTTCCGCCATGGCTTGCGTTTGCACGATAATCCAGCGCTGCTGGAGGCTGTTTCGGACAAGGCAGAGGGGGTGGCACTGATACCGCTTTTCATTTTTGATGGCGAAAGTGCAGGTGAGTAACGTGCGGAGGGAGAGAGAGAGAGAGAGAGCGAGTTCGAGCGAAAGGTGAGTGTGATCTACTCAATATTTTGTATACAAATGTCAAACAAGAAGGTCGGCGATCGGCGCTTAGAAACAGCTTAAATTCAATGCCCAGAGACAGCAGATCAAATAGGCAAATGTAGACTGGAGAATAGTTAGAGAGAAGAGTTACATACAGAAGAGTAAAGGGCGAAGCTCCCTGTTAATCGAAACAAACGCAACTTTCCGACCCTCCGCACAGTACATTCGTTCCATATAAAATGTGGGAAAACTAGAATTATGGATGATCTAAATAAAAATTTGTTTCTTTAGTGAATTTGAGGCCGCTGAACTCAAAAATGCATTTTATTTTCTCATAACTTCTATACTATTTATCACTGTAAATGCAGTTGAAAATTAAAAATGGGTGTTCTTTTAGTGTTTAGGTATACCTACATAGTCTATAATGAGCCTTCAAATTAAAGGATCTTTAGATGTGCAATAAGGATTTGTTTTTTTTGAAATATTACATTTCAGTTAAATAGGTATATAATAAAGTAAATTAATTATAGCAATATGGGTATCAATCCAAATAGTTTTAAAGAGGCTTAAATTCTAAACTACGCTTAGAAGGGTTGCCTGTTCCCCAAAAAGGCAAATTCAATTTGAATTAGGGGATTTAAGTACTTCGTGTATGTAAGTGAATTAGACTGCATCACAAAAAAAAGTTGCGGTTTTGCCGCCAGCATTTCAAAATCCATTATATTTGAAGACGTCCACCAAAATATTTCGGAAAAACATTGAAATTAACGTGAGCTGTAGCTCATTTCTGTACACACACATGTATTTTGTATGGAGTGTGTTATGTCAAATCTCAATTCACTCCAAAGTTTACATGAATTTTGTTTTTGCTTTTGATGGGTGTGCTGTCAAATCAGTAAAAGCACAAACAAAATACATGAAAGGCGAAGAAATCAGCTGATTTTACAACACCACCTTGTATAAATTCGTCTTGGCTTGGATTTCTATAATTCTATAAAGGTGTTACCCATACTAATTTGGTTTAGATACGATGATCGAATGATGAAGAAATTACCGTTAATCTGAAATTTTTATATGAGTATTGAAGTCGGTTTTTTTTCTTAAAAATTACTTTTTTTCCAAACACCAACACAGTTGAATTTAACTTGGAATGACGCTCGTTCATCCTACCGTTCTCTTTCATACTTTGGATGACTTGTTTTTGCAAAGAAATAAAAAGAGTGAGAAAATACCTTTCCAATGATACCTCATGAGTCTAAATCGAAATGGTTTTGGTTCAGATATTCAAGTTTTTCTTTGAAAAAAGTTAGAAAAAACTGCTTTTTACAATTCCGTTGATTTTTTTTATTATAATGCAGAGTTTTTAAGCTTGAACTGTTTTGTCATCTGATGAGATTATTTCCAAAAAGTTTTTTACTAAATGACATCTTCATGCTTTTGCCACAGATTCGCATTCTGGAGATAACAATACGTAACTTTAGTTTATCGGAAATGCATTTTTCAAACTTTAATGATCCTCGAACTTCCACTTGTCCTAAACTCCTAACATGGACGAAAATATTTTTATTGGAATTTAAAAAAATATGAATCACCATGCGTTTTGTATTACGATATATTTTATGAATATGTGCAGTGTGGGAAAAATAAATACGTTTGCCACGTCTTAATCATATTTGGCTACTGTCTTTGTTTGTTGAATGTTTTTTATTATTAAATTTGGTATGCAGTTTTATAGCCCATCAACTTATAGTATAATAAAGTGCAATTGTAATTTTAAAGAACATTTAATATTTTCTTATATTTTATTCAAATTCTTATAATAAGAATGTAAAAATAATACTAGACTACCAACTGACTTCGGCCCTAATCTGTTACGCTTTTCTGTTATAATATTTCCTGCCAACGAAAATCTGCGCTACTTGCAGGAATAGAACGAAATTGCTGCGCGAATTTTGACAAGCGGGGATATTTTTTTTGCATTTATTCACCACCATTCNGTCATTAACATCAACGTTTTCGCCATATTTTGCACCAATTTTAATAAAACATTTCGCAAGCTTAAGAAAGCCTGACCCATTAATAACTGAAAATGGGCGGCAATCTTCAACGATCCATGCTGTAAATGTGTCGATAGCTTTTTGCTTATCGTCTGCTGTGACAGTTCTTAAAACTTGTGGCTGTTTAAGGGCTTGACAACATTTGCGCCGACACAAATTAGATGTTTGATTACCTGCGTATTTAAGCAACTTACAGCATGTACGGCAGTATACTAACCCTTCCACAACAGCTCCATCTTCTTTAAAGATTTCGGACAGTATGTTCCAGACGAAACTTCTGCCCTTGTGTCGATGTGACAAGGAGAAAGTGCCGTTAGCAATCTGCTCAGCAACAAAAGCTTGATTATCAGACATTTTCTTTAATCTATTGAAAAATGTAAACTTAAATAACTTTATGATATTTACATTCAATTCTGTACAAAAATAAAGGAAGAAACGATAATATATTCTATTGGAAAATAGCAAGCATAATTATGAGCATTTTCTTCCTACATACATTAAAAATCAAGAAAAAGAATACTAACAATATTCAGTAAACTTCTTTAATATTTATNAATTAAACTTGTAAGAAATAAGTAGTTATTTGTTTAATCAATAAACTGTGTCAGTATAACACTTTGCGATGACTTTTCGTACGTTTTAAATTTTACACTTTTGTATGTAAACAAAAATTATATCAGCTGTTCGTCTAACTTGCAAGTTTCTGCAAATTTTCTGTTCGCGTACTATTTTGGATATTTCTCTCTTGTGAGCGAACAGATGACATTTCGCCGGAATTTGGCAGTTGGTTGGTTTCTGTTGGATATTTTAAACGAACGCACCTGATATTTACTACATTCAATTCTGTATAAAAATAAAGGAAGAAACGATAATATATTCTATTGGAAAATAGCAAGCATAATTATATAAGCATTTTCTACCTGCATAGATTAAAAATCAAGAAAAAGAATACTACTTACAATATTCAGTGAACTTCTTTAATATTTATGAACGACTAAAATTGTTTAAACGACCGCTCATACCACGGCATAACCGAAGGCGACATGAAAATGCTGTGCCACACTATGCAGTAACGACGCTTTGATCGAGCACAAAACACTCAAACCTCGACATCATTTGAGCTTGTGGTGATTGCGGGTGGCGGTAGATTTCGTTACTAAGTATTATTGAGTTTGAGTGGTACAGTAAATAAATGTCGTTGCGGTGTATTCGAAAATGCGATACACCGCAACTGATCTCTGATGCCCACCTATCAAAATTCTCTCTCTGCGATAACTGTTCCGTATTATATCAAATTGACAGTTCGCAGTAAACTTCATCGTACTCGACTGGGGTTCATCTTCCCCGTAATTTAAGCACTTTCTGGGCATCGGTCACTAGATCATCGTTCTTGTTCTTACACGAATTTGTGGCGAGCAACTCGGTCAGCAGGCTAAACAAAATTTTTCAATGACGGAATCTCTCTGCTACCACAAATCGGGCATAAAGTTTGAACAACCCCAAGTTTTTCTTGACTTGTCACTTCATCACATCTCTTGGATGGCGATGATGTTTCCACATAGTCTTTCCAAGGGTATCAGACATTTCAGTTGTATATGTACCTTTAAAGCATTATTCTTTAAACCTTTTCCGCAATTGTCGATGAAAGAGGATCACATACATATGTGACTTTATTTTCGTTTTCATTGGCAATTTGTTTCACGACGTGGTGGGTCCCAAACCAGATACTGGACTCATACAAAATATGCATTGCATTTATATCGAGAGCCGCGTGCTGCAAACTTCAATGAGCCCTTAAACTGAATATGTCGAAGTGGCCAAACCAAAGATCTGTCTCTTTCTGTCGTGAGCCAAAGTTCCCCACGGCTTGGTTAATGCATCTCGCGTATGGGTTGCTCCCGCTGCCTAGTGCAGAACGGATTATAGCCAAGCAAATGTAGCTGCATACTAAGAGGCCCTAGAGTACCCTACGTATTGTTTTCGAGAGACGCTTAATGGGATTTAAACTAAACTATTAAAGAGGCCACTTTACATATCAACCAGTTGAAAAAAGCAAATTCGATTAAAAAACTACATGGAACTATATTTTCATCCTTTTCCAGGCACCAACACGGTTGGCTATAATCGCATGCGTTTCTTATTAAACTCTTTGGCCGACATAAATAGTCAACTACAGGCCCTAGGCAATACTGGTGGCGATTTGGGTAAACTGTATCTGTTTCAAGGCAACCCTACGGCTATTTTTCGACGCTTGAATGAGCACTATCAGCTGAATAAGATCTGTTTCGAACAAGATTGTGAACCAATTTGGAATCAGCGTGATGACTCGGTGCGCGCCTTGTGCAGCGAACTAGGCATTGAGGCTGTGGAAAAGGTCTCACATACGCTATGGGACCCGCGCACCGTCATTAGTACGAATGGTGGAATACCACCGCTAACATACCAGATGTTTTTAGTAAGTGTTTTAGAAAGCAGAATTAATTTTCACTTATTTGGAACTGACATTTTCTTTATTTCTTAGCACACCGTGGAAATAATTGGCTTGCCACCGCGTCCAGTCGAGGACCCCAACTGGGATGGCGTTGAACTTTTGCAACTACCCGAGAGTCTGCTCATGGAATTGAACGCCTTTAGACAGGTATGTACACTGACTTTTTTTTGATATTTCAATACACTATTTTTTTATGTTTTTCCTCCTCCTCATTAATAGTTCCCCATACCAGAGGACTTTAACATCTTTCCGGATAGCGTGTGTTATGTAGCTAAAATGCAGTGGCAGGGTGGCGAAAAACAGGCCCTACTACAACTTGCCGAACGTCTTAAAGTCGAGGAGCACGCCTTCAAAAATGGCTATTATCTTCCGAATCAGGCACGTCCTAACATAGTCGAGTCTCCGAAATCGATGAGCGCACATCTACGCTTCGGCTGTTTGTCAGTGCGCCATTTCTACTGGAGTGTACATGATCTCTTCAAAAACGTACAAATGCAAGCTTTCTACCAGGGCATTCATATGACTGGCGGCGAACACATCACGGGGCAGCTCATTTGGCGTGAGTACTTTTATACTATGTCCGTAAATAATCCTAATTACGATCGCATGGAGGGAAATGCGATCTGCTTGAGTATTCCATGGGCCAAGCCAGTTGCCGATCAGTTGCAACGTTGGCGCAGCGGTCATACGGGTTTCCCGCTAATTGACGCGGCGATGCGTCAATTGCTGGCCGAAGGTTGGTTACACCACACGCTGCGCAATACGGTGGCCACTTTCCTGACACGTGGCGCACTCTGGCAAAACTGGGAGCACGGCTTGCGGCACTTTCTCAAGTACTTGTTGGACGCTGATTGGTCGGTTTGTGCAGGCAATTGGATGTGGGTTTCATCGTCAGCATTTGAGCGCCTACTGGACTCCTCATTGGTATCATGTCCGATTGCCTTTTCGAAGCGACTCGATCCGAAAGGCGAATACATAAGGCAGTATGTGCCAGAGTTGGCAAATGTGCCGCAGGAATATATGTAAGTGGTAGTAAATTTAATAAGTAAATAGGGTGGAGGAGACACATTGCCGATTAATCTTTCTCTTTGTTCGTTTTTCTTTTTCTTTTGTTTAGTCACGAACCTTGGCGCATGCCTCAAGAGCTGCAGGAGCGCTATGAGTGTCTAGTTGGTGTGCACTATCCTGAGCGTATTGTCGACTTGGCTAAAGTATCCAAACGGAATACACTCGCTATGCAAGCGCTCAGACATTCATTGATTGCCGAAGGCGCACCAGACGAAGGACCACCCCACTGTCGTCCATCCAACGAGGATGAAGTGCGTCAATTCTTTTGGTTGGTCGATTGAGCGGCGAAGATCTTATCTAAATAGTAGAATGAATCGAATTTTATGTGTAACCAAAAAAATTATATTGTGGATTGGATTAGACACTACATACTCAGCATGAAATATGTGTAAACCAAAATTATTCAAAGTAAATCTGAGGTATTCCTCAAAAATTAATGTTTGTTCTAGTTGGGGCTGACCTGGCATGCCACAGTATTTATAGCCAGAGCCAAGGAAATATTATTACTGACGTTTGTACGGTACATTCACCAGGACTGTTGGACTGGATTCTTAGCTGCGATTTTCTTCGTTAAAAGTCAGCCGATAGGATGTTTATTAATGTAATCCGCTTTGAGGAGAAATTTTCATTCAAAAGGCCTAACGGTAATCAAAGCACAAAGCTTTTTAAAGATTATTGCGTTTAATGCGGACCAGCAGTAACCGAAGACGCAGATCACTTATTTTTCAAATGTCCCCGTTTTACCTCCTTGAGATACGCACTTAACTGTAAGCTTTGAAAGGCGAGAAAGTGTGGAAATATGTTTGCCATGTATTAAAATAATGACAGCTAAACAGGCCATAGAAATAGTCCGTTTTATTTATTTTCATCTTAGACTTACCTGTTATAGGAAAGCCAGCAGTCCTTGGTATTTCTTTAACATACTGTTTCTAGAATAATGAGCACGAGTTCATAAATATAATAGTAGGTCATCTCAATCAGAGATATACGCCTTTCAGGGCTACCTGAATAGCAGCGAAGAGGAATATTCGTTTCGCGTCTAGGTCTTTGATCGAGACTCCGCGCTGCAACCTGAACACTGCGAAGACTGCAACCTGACATACATTACAGTGTTCGGAGAGCCTAAAAGATGCATCTAATCTCAGTTAAGATGGCAAAACTCTTACTCCGACTCCAGTCCGACGCAGTTGGAGCTATACAATAAATAGTCAGTATCTGTTTATTGCTGTCGATATTGTCGCCACCTTACGGAAATAAATGGTGATCCTTTTTAAGTACAATAAAATCGATCATTATACATACATACCTACCTATGCTCATATAGTAGTAACACATATGTATAGAGAATGGAACAGGTGATGAGCGCTGGGTATATGCAAAGATTGCTGGTAAGTGCCGTCATTCCTCTTCTTCCAGTTTTTTACAGGCAATTTGTCTTTTGCCGAATGACATTCTCTTCCACTTCATTTTCGCCCCGAGTCCAGGAAAGCACGCCAGCCGTTTCTCTTCTGTGCAGACACCAATCGGAAATGCCAAGTGAAGTCAAGTAGATGCTTTCCATCGCAAAGGGAGGATTTCCTCTTCCTCTGTTACCTGCATGGCGACCCACGTTGGATACTTTCAGATCCGAATGACATTAGATTAAATCAGATAATCTCAGTTGTTGTAATTTTTGTCGTTTCGCTGAACCTTGGTCCAGTACTATTTTTAATTAGTTTTGCACATCTCCAAAGTAATTTCTAGAATGTAAATCTGCATAAGTGCAAATCGGTTAATTTCACCGCCATTTGGTCTTTCACTAGCGTTTAATCAAAGTTTTCAATAAGTTTTTTCCTTGAACTACTGACTGATCGTACACGTTCGTTCGAACGACCATTAAATCACAAAAGGGCAATCGAGTGTGTGCTAAATCCGAAAAATATTTGAAAAGTTAAAGACAATTTGAGAAAGAATTCAGCTTAATATAGAATTCTGCTCTTCTTTTTGTATTAATAGCAGGACCAGCTAAAGAAGCCACGACGCCCCGGGCGTCTAAATGGAACGAGGCACCCTTTGATAATAATCAGGCTCATTGCATATGTATATCGTAAATTAGACTAAAATGCACGACTCGCCAATATTGGCATTGCCTATTGTCGTGCTGAAATAAGTAGACGACGAAAACTGTCGAACACTAACCAGTGCTGCCAAGTTTTTCCGTTTTAATACAATAGTCGAGTCGAAATTTTAGGCAATCATATGAAATTTTCGATACGATTCGACTCCCGACAAACGACTTGCATTCGACATGACTTTCGCAATGATGCTGAATATTCAAACATTTGAAACTATTGCAGCGCTATGAGTAAAATGTTGTTCTCTCGCTGTCAAAACATTCCTGAGACTTTAGTTTCCAAATTGTTCTTCGAGAAAAAATTTCCTAAGACATTGCTCCCGTTTTGTTCTTTGCCATTGTTTTCAATTGAGATCGTCTATGTAATTATTTTAAGGCCTTAATCTTTGTAATCCGTCCTATAAAATTTTGGATATCGTACTGTACCGGTTGACGTGATATGGAAATGAATTTTACGTCGCTTCGTACAAAAGTTGTGGAGAATTAATATCTCTACAACCTTGAAATTTCAATATGCTACGTATTTTCAACAGAAATTGTCGAAAAATGGCGAAAACCGTGACAATGCGAATTTTTTTCGCAGTGTTTGCTAATTACACTGGTTTACAGCAAAAATTTTCAATGGATGCCACTATCCAACTTCTATGTAGAATTTTCCGGTGATTCCGAAAATTTATTTAATTTTTTTTCTATGGATACGTTGGCGAGATATTTGCAATTTACCGTTATTCAGCTTAAAACAAAAAGTGGTTTCACTTAATCACGTATATCTTACGAACGAATTTAACAATCTTAAAATGAGATGAGGCAAATGAAAGCTAATAAAATTCTCCATAAACCATTTATCCATCACTTTCCGATAGGACTGATAGTTTCTGACAAATTAATTACTCATGCCATTTTTTTATTTTTTTATGAAAACATAAAAAAAATAAAACTTTATGTTACTCATACGTCACGTACACCTGAGTAACATTCGGCACGCAATAGCAAACCCGGGTGTATTTCTGCCATGAAAAACAGCTTTTCATAAAAATACAATCGCCGTTCGGAGTCTGAGTAAAACTGTACGGGACCTTTGTGTAACAGCACGCCACAAATCAGCGAGCAATTCTACATAGAAATTGGATAGCGGCGTTTGGAGAACAAAACCCAAACTAAAATTTATGATCACAATACAAAATGTTTTTTTTTAAATCCTATATAACAAATGAGGGAAAATAAATTCTCTACAAATTTGTATTTAACCTCTTTTTGCGAATACAAAATAAGCTTGCAAATCGCAAAAACCCCAAAAACTTAAAATTCTAGATGACGGTATGTTGCCATATGAAATTTAGGGCCAAGACTATGGATCCATGATCTACGTGCATCAAAAAATCGCCGTTACAATTTTTTCTCTTCGTACCAATTTGATCTAATTTTACTGGGCTTAACTTTTACTAGAGTGGCTCCATTTTAGTTTTCTACGTCTACTTTATGAAGCACTTTTCATAAGCTTTCCGATAAAATATTAATTTTGGAAAAAATATTTAGTGTCATTTTTTTTTTAGTTTTAAGAATATTTCTGTTTCTCTCGAAATAATTAAAAGTTGTATAGAAGGTTTTTTGAGCTCCGGTGTTGCGCATCATATCGCTGCAGCGGGGTCAGGCGTAGAATACACTGGGCCTCATGCAAAAAAGGTGAGCTTGAGCTGAAACTCATATTTCGCACTGATGAAGTGAGCTCAAGCTCAAGGAAATTGTACTGAAAATCGAATCGGAGCTTAAGCTCACTTTTCATGCACGATGGCCTTTATTAGTATAAAGATAAATGGCGGCATTTTTCACCGGGCACAGGGCGAAATTTTAAGTAAATCCGGACCCGATTGTGATCTTCAAATGTACTGCGACTTCAATCAAATAACGATACGTTTGCTTTCGTATGTTATAATCCCAATTTGTTCCGGCGACTGACGACTCAAGTAATTTGTGTTCGTACGATTGCCGACTCGTTCGCCTCTGTCACCATTCAAGCCCATAGAGACGCAAAGGACGTTCGACTTGTTTAGTGAACCTCGTAGCTTAAATAAATAAAATGTGGAACTCAACTTTGTCTTTGGTCGACAATAGCGTGCTTTTTTTTAACACGGCAATGTAAGTTGATTTTTTTACTAGAAGAATTATTCTACGAATTTTTTTAATTTTAAATTAACGTAAGCAAATATCACATGTGTGCGCCTTTTCCAAAAAAAAAAAAACATTTCCACTTCCCTAAAAATCTGTCTACGAAATCTACGAAAACTAAAATACATTTACTTTTGCTTTTCATTTTGTTTATTTGCTTTACTCTTTTAGGTTTGCATTTTATTTATATACTTTTCAACTTTTTTATTTAGCTTTTTCTCTAGTTTTTTTCATAGTTTATATAAGTTACTTTTTGTCGCAATTACTATGTATAAGCAAATCTTCGTACAATTAAATAACATTTTTTTAGCTTTCTCTCGGATTTCTTCACTCTAAATTTTTTTGTTTTTGTGTTTTTTTTCGTGTATGTTTTCTTTTTAATTTAAATGGAGTTCTAAGTTTTCATTAATGAGTTATTAAAATTGAACTTATGTATGACTTTTTAGCTGCGATCGCCACTTCTGCTGCTTGCTTCTACTGCTGCTTCTTCGCTTGGGAGTCAGCCATACTAACTCACGGCTGCTACTTTAGCTAAGATTTCTCCTTGGCGTCTTCAATTAACCTTCGAATTTACAATGCTTCTATACATTTTTATGTTTATATGAAGTTTTTTTTTTTTGTTTTTAGAATGGCTTTATATGCTGTTGTGGTTGAGCTAGAGGAGAGGAGGGTTGTGCTTAGATGATTATCGGCATGATTTAAATTTTATTTTTATATTTCTCATAGAAGATGATGAAGTGTAATAATTATTTAATTATATATTTAATTATTTGTTTTATTTTTTAATTTTAAACGTTTATTAATCAATTTAATTTAGATACTTGTAATTGTTTCAATTTCTCCTTGCCATACATACATGTATAATATTTATATATAAACGCATTAAATTTGTGAATTATACTTATATATTATTTAAAAATTAACTATTGCATTATTCTTTTTTAATTTCTTTTCTTTTTTATAATTATTATGTATAATAAATTTCTTGCTTTGCTTTATTTTAATACGGTAATCTTTCTTAAATTGGGCAAGTCTATTGTTTTGTTGTTGTTGGTATTTTAAAGTGCTTTTCTGTTGGTTGGTTGGTTGGTTGACTGGTTTCAAATATAAATATATTTTATTGTTATTGTACGCTTAACTAAGCTATTTGTATGTAAGTGCAAAAAAAGAGTTTACGTAGAAATTATAATAAAAATTTACATACAACTAAATGAAAAAGAAAAAACATAAAAATTAAATTTGCTGTTGATGGTTCACTTTCATATACTTTCTCCTTAATTTTGCTGTGGTGACTGCTGGCAAAAATAGTGTCTACAGTACGCATATAAGTATGTAGTATATTATGTACAGAATGTCCATGTATGCATATTTATAACTGTACAACTACACCACTTTCCACTCAGTAGTAGTAGAGTAGTTCCTGCTATTATAAATCTGCTTACCAACTTACTATGTTTTATGGCTGTTGAATGTTTTTGGGCTGTGCATATGAAAATCTCTTAAGAATGTGTGCTAATGTTCATCTCTACTATTGCTTTATTGTTTTGATTTTTTTCGCCGGTTTGGTGTTTTCTGATTTTTTNATGTGTGCTAATGTTCATCTCTACTATTGCTTTATTGTTTTGATTTTTTTTCGCCGGTTTGGTGTTTTCTGATTTTTTATTTTTTTTTGGTTCTAATTTTGTAGTTGCTGCTGTAGTTTTATTTTTGTGTTGTTTGGTTGTTACTTTTGTCATATTCTTGTCTAATTTTCCTTGGTTTTTTGTTTAGCATTTAATCAGTATCGGCACGCATGCCTCGCACCTCGCCCACTTGACGCTGCTTATCGAGCTCTTCTTTGACCTTCTCCTCGATAGCGCGTATATCTTCCATTGTCAGACCGTGCCAGCGATCCATCCAACAGAAAACTTGGCTGCAAATAAAAAGTGAAAATTTATTAGAAGTTTCTTTGGTTTGTCGTTCCTTTTCATGCAGAGATATTTACTATAATCAAGCGCATCGTCTTGCTCATTGCATTATTTGCAAAATCTGAATTAATATTTTAATAACATTCCAAAAGTAAAATTATAATTAATTGTTACAATTTTTTTTTCTGTGCCTTGAACAAAAAATTTGGTTAAACATTGTTTTTTTTGTTTTTTTTTTCTTTTAGGTATCAATTACTCCTGGAGAATTCTTCCAAAGCAGCTCAACTTAGAAAACTTGAGAAATTGAGTTGAGAAAACTTGAGAAATTGAGCTGGTAAAGAATTTTACAAACATTTTTGTAAGAAAATTGATGAATCTTTTTCTAAATATTTTAAAATATACAAAAATATATGTACATCTCCTAAAATTATGACACTCAATTGCATAAAAGTTTTTGTAGTAATATTTGAAATATTTAAGGTAAAATTTTTAATTACTAAAATTTGCATTGAAAATTCTGTTGTTAGAGCGTGTGGGAACCGGTAACAAAGTTCGCGGCGAGTAATTTTTTGACAACTATGAGGTGAATAAAATTTCAGTAGCTCATGAGGCTAGTGAATTTTTTGACAAATGCATAGAAAATTTTTAAAATCGCAAAGATTGTTGATGTGTATAATTTTTCATTAAATAAAAGCTTAAATTGATGAATTGCAATCAACGATGGTAGATGTTTTCTCAAAATATTAATTTCACTTCGATTTGTAATATTTTATTCCGCATAAATATTTCATTTCACACAACACATTGGCAAAACTGTCTCACCATAGTAAAAATATTATTCAACAGCTTTCCCCATGGAACTTTGTTACCGATTCACGCACGCCCTTAGTATTAAAAAATTGTATTCTCTACTCACCGATGGAAGTTTGTAAATAATCGTCGCTCTGACTTTTGTATGAAATTTTCTATTCTTGTCTGCAAACCGAACCACTTGAATTCGCATGTCACCAGCTTGTAGCACGTCATGACTGGATCGACACTTTTCTTCCAGTTTGGACCCACCAGTGGGCCACGACCGGTTTTCTCTGACTTGAATCTTAATGAAAATTAAATATTTAAATTAATATTAAATAATTTTTATTAAAACACGAAAATTATTTTAAATTTTTTTGATTCTGTTAATTGAAGGTGAGAAATAGAAAACCTATAGGAGTATTCACGATCCGGTGCATACTGTCTAGCATGGTGCATAGATAGCATAAATAGCATGCTTGGCAAAATTTTGTTTTTGTTTGAACACATGAAACAACCACAATCATGCTATTTATGTTATCTATGCATCATGTTAGACAGTATGCGCCCGATCGTGAAATGAAAAGTAGTGTTTGCAATAAACATTGATTTACATTTAAATTTTTCAACTGAAATTGGCTCAGAGCAGGTCAGAACTTTCGAGTTATAATTTCCAACAAATTTTACTAATTGTTATAGCGGTTTGCACTGGCCATAGCTCACCTATGTACATTTTTAAATGTTTACACACATACATATAATTTTCAAATACATATGTACTCACTTTGTTGGATCCTCAGTGGGCTTGTAATCGACAGGCAATACGGGATCATTCGCAATGTCGATATGCACAACGTCTCGTGTTTTAAGCTTCTCAGGTGGCAGTTCATGCACCTAAATGTAATCAATAAAAATTACAATTAAAATTTCTGAATCGTTATTAAATTAATTGAGGTACGAGTAAAAAAAAAATCAGAAATAATTAAGCAGGGAGTGTTCTCTGTCTCTCTTTTCCAATTATAAGCAAATTAAATATGTATCAAAATGAAAAAATAATATGTATTAAAATTAAAAAATAATATGCATATGTATATAAAAAATAAAAGGGCCAAAAACACTTCATCTTCACGAGTGCCGTTTTTGTGTCATAAAATATGAACTGTACGCTTTCGTTTTCAATAATAAAATTAACTAAATAGATATGAACATAAACAAATAATAACATTGATCTAAAAGTTTTTCTTTTTGAACAACATAATATGGGCATGCATACAACAATAAAAAATAACCTACGGTTGGACCAGCATTAATTTTTTTTCATAATTACTGAGAATGCATATAAAAATATATGTTATACTTTTTTTAACAA